TATCAGTTTCTTGAAGTGCAGAACTATTAGGAAAGGTGCTAAAATGATAACAAAAAAAWTGATGTTTGTGAGGATTAACATTTCTTCTCCAGAATGAATGTTACGCTGATAGCTAAATTAGAATGAACAATTATTTGTCATAATCAACAGGCTTCATGAAATCCTAGCTGTTATGCTACAAAACCCTCCTTAAAGGCTGTTGTGTCTCATTTCTGCCCCGCTGACCCTCATAAAGTCATATTTTGTAGCATATCCTTTGCACAAAATGAATTATAGCTTGCTTGCTCTCCCCCTTCCTTTTACGGCAAGTCCAGTTTTCCCATCATTCACATCTTCGCCCACAAAATTACCAAGCCTGTTGATATTTATGGGACAGTGTCAATATTTACTTGAAATATCAATTTCAGTGGCCGTGCAGACAATTGACCTTGGTTACCTGTACAGTGTATCTTGATCAAGAGCAGGTAAATAACAAATGTGTCATGTTCTGAATTTTAATAGAAAATTCATAGATCCTTGTAATTTTAAGATATTCAAGGGAGAAGCTGTCTTGGAACACAYAAAGATACTGGCAGCAAAATGAAAATTGTGAATTGTATTGTTCAGTATATTAGAATGTAGCCTGGAATAATTCTCCTGCATAAAAAAATAGCAAATAAATTTTATCAAGGTCTACTGCTTTATTTTATATACTAATTTTGGATAGAAAGCATAAATGTCCTTGGAACTTATTTCTATCTCCTTTATGAAACTCCCAGTCATTCCTGTACCATAGTTGTGTAACATGTGCAAATTGTATCCTGCCCGCCACGCCAGGCCAGGCTTCACCCTGCACTGCTGCCCGTGGAGGCCTGCGCTTAACTAGCGCCAGGAAGGGCCCGCGTGCCGTCCTCACGGATGGCATCGTCTTTATGTCCCCAGGAAGCCCTAACGCCGCACAGCTGCAAGGGTCCACTTCATCACAGTTCCCCTGATGGCCCTCAGGGAATCTCAAAGGTGAATTCCCCTTCTCCCCTGTTTTCGTTCCTGCCAGGTAGTTCTTTGTTGAGAGACATTTTGATACCAAATGACCTTATTATCAATATGGCTTATTCCAGSTGTTCCATGTGGGGACTAAACTTGGTGCTGCCCTGTTCCCCTCCTGCCTTCGGATCACAATAGGTTTCCACTTTACACCAAACCAGAGCTGACTGGTGCCAGCGAGTGTCTTTGCAGAAGTTCCTGATCCTCGGCGGGCACAACCGGCACCCCGGGGCTGCTCCGACGCCCCGCAAACGCCTCCCGTTCCGCCACCGTCGCTCAGAAAATGGCGCCGCGGCGCCGCGGGCCGTTAGGGGCGCAGCCGCACGGGCAACGCCCGCGGCCCCGCCCCGTGACCTCAGCGCGCGCACCGGG